CCCGAGTGCCCTTACCCCGTGCTATCCTCAAGGTAAAGCACATGAGTCGATACCGAAGATTCTGCAGTGAACATACACTCAAAGGCAGGGAACAACCAGAGGAGGGGGCATACAAGTAGAGCATTCGGCTGGTCACATGTGTGTTTGATGTGCGGCAGGACGAACGGAATCCTGAACGACACCCGGGTATTGGTACCCTGCACCCCATTCCCATGGACTTTTTACCGGAGAAAGTGGCGCGCTACTGCAGCCGCTGAACCTGATCCATTCACCTCACACATAGCAAGAACTAGGTTCCACGGAGGTGAATGTACGGTTTGTCTTCCACTGAAATTTTTTGACAACGACGAATTTTACCGTTTTTCCCATTTCGGTCATCACCACAGTGGGATTCACACAGTTCACTCGGATTCCGTGCTCTCCTAACTCTTTTGCGAGGCACCTCGTTGCCATATCCAGGCCTGCTTTGCTCGCACCTTAATAGGTTTTACTTGATCATGGTAACAACACTCCTAAACACATAACACGAAGTCGGTCGAAATATGCTGGGTACGATATTTCATCCGTAACTCTCGTGATACATCCACACATCGTAATAGCCATTAGATGTTTTGTGAGGTCATCCTTTCCGAAAACCTCTACGAACCTCTACGAGTAGGAAATCTCTATGGAATCCACCACCAATTTTTCACCTTTTGCCCAATTTGCTTCCATTGGGCTTCCATCGACATTCCTTGTGGACCCCTGCCCAGATAACCTTGCTTACTCCTGCAGCAATATCGAGCTCATCTATTTTCATAAAATTTCAACCAAACATCAAAGAAAACAACTATCTAGAAAGGCAGGTCGCGGCCCGCATGTCCACGAGGAGGCGACCGAGCCCAGCTTGCGATTGACTCGCCTCACATCCCATATGGAGCTATTCAATCCCAGCAATGTGCGTGATTAGAAAAGACCTCTCTCAAAGGTGAGCTGCCGATGGGCGCACTTTATGACACCCGAGGAGCGGTATCGTACGCACTGATGCTGCAGGCATTCACCACGCGCCGCTTGCGCGCCGATTGTGAAGTTCTCCGCGGAGCACTTTTCCCGCCCTGATAGCGACTCGAATGTGCTGAACTACACCCCGTTCCTGAAGCATCACTCAAATGTCGAGCTAAGGGAGAACGAGAATCCAACTGGAAGCTCTCACTAGGACGTCACCTGCTCCTTCATTTCAACTTAAACATACAACATTCTTCTATTCCTACTCACAATTAAAGGCAGTTGGCACGATGGTTTCCTACTCGGCCTAAAATGCTAGTAGGGCGCTATATAGTGGGGAAATGGCGAAAGAACGGAGTGAAACGGTCAAAATCCTGCGAAGAAAAAGCCTCCGTTCTCAGTGACTTGAAAATCGATTTCGGACGAGTTTCCCGTAGGCATCTTGCCAATCACCGCTACGAAGATACGGCTGCATATGTGTACCT